AGCAGGATTAAAATTGCAAGAGGGCCTAGAACAGGGCCTAACCTATGATAGGCCCTCAATGAATATTTGGGAAATTAATTAACATTGACATACTTTCTCATTTATTCATACATTCATTTACTTGCTCAGCATCTACTCTATACCTTAACATCACTCTCATCAAAAACATAATTCTAGACTCTGAGAGGCATTAGACAGTCTGCAATGACAAGAGGTCACATGGAAAGAGAATTGTTCATCATGTGCATTCGGCAAGACAACTACACGCACGAACCATAATTGCATTGCTTTTGCATGGCTTCCTATAGTTTCTACTTTGGAAAGCACCTCCATGTATATTCTCTCATATGTTCCTCATAACACAAATTATTCATGTCAGTACCACTCATGGAGCCGTCAATGATCACTCATTACACTAAGGATAAAACAGAACCCATTTAGCAAGGCACTCACTCGTTCATACAAGAATGTATTTGCCTATTATGTGCCAGACACTGTTCTAGGCACTGGGAATACAGTTGTTGTTAGATTCTGTTGAGTTGATTTCAACTCATAGTAACCCCATTTGACAGAGTAGAACTGCCCCATAGAGTTTTCTAGGCTGTAATCTTTACAGGAAAGAGTCCTCCTGGAACAACAGTTAAGCACCTGGCTGCTAACTGAAAGCTTGGCGGTTCGAACCCACCCAGCAGCTCTACTAGAGAAAGACCTGGAAATCTGCTCCTGTAAAGATTACAGCCTAGGAAACCCTATAGGGCAGTTCTACCTGTCACGTGGGGTTGCTATAAGTTGGAACTGACTCAATAGCACACAACAACAACAATCTTTATAGGAGCAGATTGCCAGGTGTTTCTCCCGTGGAGCTGCTGGGTGGGTTTGAACCACCAACCCTTCAGTTAGCAGCTGAGTGCTTAACCATTGCACCCTTACTTTTCAGTGACTGGTCAGGTTCCTGATGGCCCAGCCTCAGCCCCTAGCCCTTCTCCTGTCACTCCAGCCACATGGAACCTTAGACAGTTTTCTGAGCATGCGCTGCTAAGGAAATGCCACTCCACACATTTTCACCCACTGCTGTTTCTGTTTGGAAACCATTCCTCCCATCTCCATCTGGCTAATTCCTTCTGGCCTGTCCAGCTCAACCAGGCCCAGGCATCAATCTTCGGGGACAACTCCTCAGTTGCCCAACTGGGTCTAGCACTCCTCCACACTCATCTCTATCTCGGACCTGTGGGAGGATTATATGTGGAGAGGTTCATTTGTGGTTATGGCTCTCTCTTCTGTAGGTATCGTTTTCTTGCTTTTGGTGAACATTAGTCATTTGGGGCCTGTCTTACTTACCTGGTGCTGCTGTAACAGAAATATCTCAAGTGGATGACTTTAAAGAACAAAATATATTTTCTCACAGTTGTGGAGGCTAAAAGTCCAAATCAAGGTCTCAGTTGTGTCTGTTCCTTCTGTGAGCCTCTCTCCTAGTTTCTGGTGTCTGCCTGTGATCCTTGGCATTTCTTTGCTTGAAGATGGCTCCTCACATACTGTTTCCCCTGAGCATGTCTTTGTGTCTATTCTGGCCTTTTTTATAACTCAGAAGAGATTAGGTTTAGGATTTACCCTACACTGGTATGACCTTATTAACATAACAAAAGAAAAACCCTATTTCCAAACAGGGTCACACCCACAGGTACAGGGGTTAGAATTCTGAGTTCAATTCATAACAGGACCATCTAGCATTTGTTCCCCCACTTTGATCTTCAGTGGGGTATCCTGACCCTCTCCCATGAGTCCCACAGACTTTAGGAGAGTCTGATTCCAGGCAGAATCTAGGGCAGGGGGCAGGGGGCAGGGCCTTTGCATCAGGACTAAGCTAACCCACACAATCCCATTCCTCTGAATGCAGTTATTGATTCAGAGAGGAAAATCTGACCACATTAGGCCAATTGGAGTGAAGCCCAGAAATTGTGCTGGACCATAGTGGGATGAAATACTCCGAGCCACCCATGTAAGGATGTAGTCCTCTACACTGCTAACAGCCAGCTGGTGACCACAACGGGGAAGCCTGTCTGAGGACAAGGTCAAGTCAGAGGTGGCAGAGCTGAGAGATGGATTCTGAGCACATGGGTTAAGACCTGGACTATTGCTGTTGTTGTGTGCCGTTGAGTCAATTCGGACTGATGGCAGAGTAGAAGTGCCCTATAGGGTCTTCTTGGCTGTAATCTTTATGGAAGCAGATCACCAGGTCTTTCTCCCAAGGAGCCACTGGGTGGGTTTGAACCTCCAGCCTTTCAGTTAGCAGCCAAGTACTTAACCACTGTATCACCAAGGTTCCTTATAAGCTGGAGAGAAGGGTAAGTGGTGAATCTTTGGCTTTTGCAAGTCAGACCTGGACTACTGATTTTTAAAAGCCAGAGACTGACCACTTACCTTCCCTACCTTCCCCAAGGAAGTTCAGGCTGGGTTTTCTATCCTGAAAAATTCACTGTATTCTAAGAAGTCACACCCTCATTGCTATCAAGTTGATTCTGACTCATAGTGACCCCATGTGTTGCAGAGTAGAACTGCACCACAGGATTTTCTTGGCTGTAATCCTTACAGAAGCAGATTGCTAGCGGGATTTCTTCTGCAGCACCACTGGGTAGGTTCAAATTGCCAACCTTTAGGTTAATAGTCCAGTACATTTGTGCCACCCAGGGACCTTTCTTAGAAGATGGCAAAGCCTTTATATGCTTTCCTCAGGGGGGTTTTACCATATGGGGCCAGAAGCACAAGTTTCCAGAAGACAGTCCCCCATTTTGTTTGCAAAAGCCTAGACCGATTGACAGGGAGGGGACCAAGGCCAGTGTTTTAGAGTGGGGAAGACAGAAGTACTCAAAGTTTGGAGAGCCTCCCAAGAGTTTAGGAAAAGGTAGTGGCTTCAGGGAGGTCTATGATAAAGAAGGACTAAACACTCTGCTCCCATGGAAACCCTGAGAGGTGGCCAGACTCCTAGAAAATCAGAGAGGAAGAGGGCCGTTTTTATATTACTCATGGAGTGTTCCCTTTACCAGAAAAGCTATCCTGCCCTCCCCAAATTTGATTCAACTTTCCAAAGCAACTACCAGTCAGTAGCTATGCTTCAGAAGTGAAAAGTATCAGCTATCTTTTAAAATAGGAATGATTTGAAATGTATCCCCTGCTGCATATACATATTAAATTTTTGTTTAACAGTAGGTTGATTTTAAATTCTGGAGATTAAGACTGAGGGACAAACTTTAGATGCCTTGGAAGTCAGTGAGTCATGTAACAGGCAACTAACAGAAATAGTACCTATCTACCTTCCGTGTCCCAGGAAGGTAAATCATTTAGAAATCATTTAATATAGAATCAATATGATTCCTATTTTATTTCACCAAGAAGTCAAAGCCGATCACAGAGTTAAACAAAGGAACAGACAACTCATCTCAGAGCCCGTTATTACTTTATCCAACATGCCTTAGAGCAGATTCTGACGATTTCTCAAGGACAGAAGCCACAGGTACAGGGGTTAGGATTTCATATACATCTCCTTGTCTGCACACATGTGCACCACACTCAAACCCACAGAGGGCTGGAGTGTAATGATTAAACACAGGCTTTGGAGCCTGATAGACAGTACTAGCTATTTTTTTGGCAACTAACTGAACCCCTCTATGCTTCAGTTTTCTTATCTGCAAAATAGGAAAAATAGCGACTTCCTAGGTTGTTATAAGGATTAATCAATTTCAAATACTTAGTTGTTGTTGTTAATAGTTGCTGTCAATTCCCACTCATGGTGACCCCACGTGTGCAGAGTAGAACTACTCCATAGGGTTTTCAAGGTTGTGACCTTTTGGAAACAAATTACCAGGCCTTTCTTCCTAGACACCTTTGGGTGGGTTCGAACCACCAACCTCCTGGCTAGTAGTTGAGCACTTAACATTTGTGCCACCCAGGGACTCCAAAATACCTACAGGGCATAATATGAACAGTAATGGCTAAAACTGAGTTCTGGACACTATGCTAAACACTTTATAAGAATCAAGTCATTTAGTGTCAATAACAACCCTACAGAAAGATACTCTTGTTACATCTATTGTGCTAATGAAGAAACTGAGGCCCAAGGTCACACAGCTACTAAGTGGCACGGCTCAACTGCCACTAATACACCATAAGAGATGACACAGGTAGCTATCCTATCTTAATTAAATATACAGCTGCTTGTTCCACTTTAGTAGGATAGTCACAAAGGAAGGCTTTAATTTTAAGATTCTCTTTTGAAGAAGATTTAACCATCTAACTTGATTTGGGGAAAAAATATGACAGTGATACAAGATGCTTAAACAGTAAGTCAACAGGATTACTATTTAACATTCCCAAGCTTGATTAAAACTTAAATTTCCTTGGGTCAGATGGAAAGAGCTTATAATATTCCTGAACCCGAAGAGTATTCAGGTACAGTTGAAAGGTTGGAGGTGTCAGAAGAAAAGCCTGGCTATCTACTTCCCAAAATATCAACCATTGAAAACCCTATGGGGCACATTTCTATTCTTACGTATATGGGGTTGCCATGAGTTAAGGTTAACTCCATGGCAACTGGTTTGGTCTGATTTGATCTGGTCAGCATTGTAAAAGGAAAATCTGAGAAAAAGATTATTGTCTGATACAACTACGAACTACTTGTGTAAGCCACGACCTCCCTGAGTTTGAATTTCCTCATCTGTTAGATGAGGGGATGTTATTATATGAGAGACTCTCAATCCCACTATATATTAGAATCATCCTAGAAGCTTTTAAGAATTACACAGGCTTGAGTTGCCCCCAGAGATTCTGATTTAACTGGCCTGGGGTGTAGGCATGAGATGGGAATTTTTGAAAGTTCCCCTGGGGATTCTAATGTGCAACCAAAGTTGAGGCCCACTAGATTAAATAATCTCTCTATTTACATCTCGGATGTAAAATTGCACAGTTCTATGTGCTTCTCCAAGTTCCTAGAGACAAAGCAGAAATACCTGCAGCAGAATCTTGTTGCCATCGTAGTCCTGAGTTTGCCACCTGGTGCTGCTGATGGGGACACACGGATTGGGCAGAAGAGGCACTAGCTGGCCGATCTCTTGAACCTTGAACTGCAGCACTGAAGACTCTTTGGGGTCCACTGACATCCCGAGGGGCAGCTGCTTCAGGGAGAGCTGCAGAGCAAAGTTTGCGGTGGAGTAGAGCACAAAGAAACAGAAGTTGCTCTTTTGCAAGGTGGCTTCTTTCTGCAAGATCATCTCATAGAGTCGGATGGCGTCCTCGTAGTTGTCAAAACTGCAGTACAGCGTCACCCGCAGGATCTCCGTGCCGCAGTGCACTTGTCTCACTCCCCACACGGGCATTTGGTTGTCCAAACTGTAAAACTCCTCGTTGGTAAGAAGGGAGGGATAGAGTCTTCCTTGCGTGTTCTGGGTGGGGTAGTACTGCCAAGGTGAATGCTGGAGGGAGTCAAGAATGCGAAATATTCGCTCCTCTCCGAGGCTTTCATGCAGGAAAAGCAAAACAGACATCCCTGGAAACCTGGAGCGCTTGGGGTGGTATTTCTCATAGGATTTCACGGGGCTGACCCGCTCTGACACCAGAAAGAGGCGGACCTCTGGGCAAATGCCATCTAGGAGCTGGTCTAGAGTTTGCTGCAGAAGCGAGCCATGCCCAGAGTTGGCAAGGAGATGCACCGTCATGGCCGGGGGCTCTTGTCTCTCACCCATTGTGGACTTGCCTGAGGATGACGAAGAGAGAAAGCGTTGAATGCTCACTGGTCAGTCTTCTGAAATCAGCCAAGGAGTGGGCATAGCCGTGTTTGGTTCTTCCGCGGAGGCTACAGCCCACCCGAAAAATCAGCTGCACCAGCTACTTAAGAGCGGTCACCAGACTGCCCCGAGCTCCTGGGTGCTGGCGGACTGAAGAGTCCGGGATCCCACACGCTCTGGGCACAGCAGCCTCTACTACACACGACAGCAGTCGAGTTGATGTCATCATCCAGCTTCTGCACAATGGAACTGCTTGTGTCTGGCTTTTCTGGGCGTTCCCGGGGGTTTCTGTTTGACCTAAAAACCTATAATCTGAGAAACACCGGAGTGGGTGGTTCTTACAGACACTCAGTAAAGGAAATGACAGGACAAAAGGGAACAACAGTTGGCTCTGTGAGGCCGATAGCAATCTGTTTAGTTGAAAAGACATCCATTTTATTGACCCACAATGGGTTCTGATTTCCTACTTAAATAGCCTGATGTTTACAGTAGCTGGCCGGGCCACCTGAATACAATGACTCCTTTAAAACAATTGCCTTTGCACTTTCTCAAAACTTGTCCTCTTGCCAGGTTTTTCCCCCTCCTTTGTCTTTTTGTTTTATTTTGGTTTTGAACATTTTATGCCAGGGCTTTGAAGAGAAGATATTTTAGCTAAATAATTTTCTACAAAGTCCTGTGGTTGTTAGGTGCTGTTAAGTCGGTTTTTGACTCATAGTGACCTCACATGACAGAGTAGAACTGCCCCATAGGGTTTTCTTGGCTGTAATCTTTCTCCCTTGTAGCCGCTGGATGGTGTTTGAACTGCCAGCCTTTCAGTTAGCAGCCAAGGGCTTAACTGTTGCACCACCAAGGCAAAGTCCTAGTGGACTAAAAAGATGTTGAGAAACTAAGTTTTTGGTTTCTCAACTAAGTGCTTTATTCATGCAAATTCTTTAGAGAGAGAGCTTTCCAATGTCAATAATAATATCAACAACAATAACAATTGCTCGTATCTATTGAGTACTTACTCTGTCCTGTGGGGTCGCTGTGAGTTGGAATCAACACAACGGCAACAGGTTTGGTTTGGTTTATTGAGTATCAACTACGTACAAGGCAGAAACTGTTCTAAAACTTTATACGAATTTATTTAATCCTCCAGCAAAGCAATGGAGACTTCTTGCTGTTGTTGTGTGCCATCTAGTCAATTCTAACTCATAGCAACCCTATTGGACAGAGTAGAACTGCCTAGAGGGTTTTCTAGGCTGTAATTTTTACAGGAGCAGATCACCAGGTCTTTTATCCTGTGGAGCTGCTGGTGGATTTGCATAGCCAATTTTTAAGTTAGCAGCCGAGTGCTAACTTAAAAACTGAGATAAGAAAGCTGAGGCACAGAAAAGTTAAGTAACTTGCCCAAGGTCTCACAGCTAAAAAGTGGCTGAGTGAAGATCTGAACCAGGAACTGAGAACTCCTGTTGTGAACCATGGAGCTGCACTGCCTCTCTGGAGCCCGGAAGGCCCAACCTGGCTTTTCTTTGGAAGGATAAGGATCCCAAAACTAGTTCTAGTTGAGAACATGTGTTTACCATCGGTTCTGTGGTGGGCTGTTGAATTTTAAATTGAACAATCTTCAGCAAAAATGTCTTTAAGCTCTAAACTCTGCCCATAACATCCTAACATGCCCTAAACATCAATTTAAAAACCATTTGCTATTCTGACAGTTGTGATCCTAAAAAGGTGTGGACAAGCACATTTTTCTAAACGTAATTCTTCTTAAAATAGGTAATTCATTACTGAATGGAACACAGTGTGACTCTATTTTTTATAAATTAAAAAACACTTTTTTGATTTAAAAAAAAATGTTGTTGATTTCAACTCATAGTGACCCCATGTGGCAGGGTAGAACTGCCCTATAGGGTTTTCTGGGCTGTAATCTTTATTGAAGCAGATCACCAGGTCCTTCTCCCTTGGAGCTGCTGGGTGGGTTCGAACCACCAACAGTTTGGTTAGCAGCTGAATGCTTAACCTTTGCACCACCAGGGCTTACCATAACTTTTATTTAATATGTGTAAATTTCCTTAATAGTATAATAACCAAATTTAAAGTCAAATATTATTTTCCATGAACAGGAATCATTTCTATTCAGATTTACTTTCTAAACCTAACCTACCATTATAATCATTTGAGTTTCATAATTCCTATGCTTTTTGCATTGAAAAAGCAAATAAATATAGTTCATAGATAAATTTTTTGAATTACTATCGGGACTCAATAATTAAATACACTTTGCTTAAACTTTCCAAAAACCATTAGAGTCATTTTTCTAGAAAGCATTACAGCTCTTACATCTTTTTTTTGTTGTTGTTTTTTTAACTCATCTTAATTCATGTCACATGTTGGCATTTGAAGGCGGTAACTTTCTCATTCCTCTCCTTTCTCCTTTCCTTCTACTTAGAGAGCTGGCTGTACTCTGGCACTTTAGACAAAGCCATGGTTTTTGAAACAGCCTTAACAATTCTAGAAATAACTTCTAAAAATCTGAGGAGAAAAACTATATCCCTGAGACAAAGATATTAAATCACAGCATTTTGCGCAAAGCAGCTAACCAGGACTTAAACAAGACCTTATATAAGAAAAGGCTTCACTTCTTAATGCTGTTATTTTAATCTTCCATTAAATTGTGAAACATTTTTTTTCCTCTCAGCATTGTCATTTCCGTTGAGTTTGAAAAGATTTCATTAATCTGAAGGCAGTCAAAGTATAAAGGAATATGGAGGAGAAAAGGGGGAGGAGTACTACCAAACTCTTTTCTGACCGGCTGCCTCTTCAATTACCTCTCCACGAACAAGCTGAAATATTGACCCTCTAGGTAACTGCTTCCAGTCACTGCCACTCCCGTCCATCCACCACAACAGCCAAATTCTCAGCCATAGGCCATGTGCTCTTTGTTTTTGCACACTGCTTCTGTTGAATGCACAGATGAAAATGCTCAAGGAAGTCGGCAGCTTTGACTCCCAGTGTCTGCAAAGATAACATTTGATTTTCTGCTTTATTTTTCTTAAACTTGGCAAAGATGCCAAGGTTTTAACTGTCAGTTACCAGCTCCCAGGCGGCAGCCAGTCGGCCATCTCCTCAAGGAAAAGTGGAGGAGCTGGTGACAGGTAGTGCAAGGAATCTAAGAAATCAGCTAGTTATGAGGATTTGATGGAAATTGTAGAAGTCCTCAGGAACTTGTCCGTGCAACAAGTCTCATGAAGACAGTGGGCTACGTTGAAACCCTGAGACCCTCTAACTCCTGCCCCAAGAAATCTTTGAGAAAGAGTTTCTTTCTCCCTTTAATTTATAAAATCTGTTTATTTCTCCAACATGTTGAGAACCAGGCACTGTGATAGGCACAAGAGTAGATAATCACCATGTCCCCACTTTGGAGAAACACATTAAATGATGTCATCAGTACTGGGCTCAAGGTCACTGCCAGGATGCCATGGGAAGCCCTAGGAAGAGCCATGGACCTAAATGAGAGGGCCAAGGAAGGCACTAGACAGAGGAATGCTACTTGAACTAGTGAAAAGGGAGAAAGAATAAGCCAGGGGGTGAGGTGACTAGGTGTAGGGAGGGGGATGGATTCCAGACAGAGGAAGCTGATGGGGAAAGGCACCTGGAGAAGGGTATGGGGAATCTGACCCATTGGCAAAACTGCAAACAGTTTAAGATAGCTGGAGGATGGGGACAAGGAAAGGGGTGGTAAAAGTCTGGAGAGCCAGGAGGCCTGATCAGGAAACACCTCTTATGTCATGGCAAAGGGTTTGGATTTTATTCTACTATGAACATAACCACAGAAGGGTTGGCTTGAAAAAACGAACTAACGCATTGAGGAAGACATGGACAGTGATATGTGGAAAGTCAATGAAGAGTCTTGTCAGCTGGTTGGGTGAGGGCGGAAAGCTGCAGTGACTGGCCCAGGCAGGCCCCCAGGACAGTACTTACAGGTGCCTGGATGCAACTGCCAATCACCAATGAGGAATGCTGGAGAAGGAGAGCAACAGAGAGAGGGTGATGTTGCTTGTAAATGATTGTGGGACATAAAAGTAGAGATGTTCAGTAGATAATTAACATACAGCTTAAAGGAGAACTGCAGACCAGAGAATATGGATTGCAGAACCATTGGTATTTAGGTAACCATGGGAATGGATGTGATTACCCCACAAGAGAATATACAATGAGGACAGAAAAAGGAAGAGAGTAGACTCTGGGAGCACCTAACGTAAGGGAAAAGTAAAGTTTAAGTGGAGCCCAGGGAGACATGGAGAATGGAGTGCATCTTCCTAACCTGTGTGGGTGTTGTGTCTCTCGTTACAATGATTTCAGGACAGTCCATTGCTTGGGCAGATAATGTCACTCAGTGTTTCACAGTTATGCTTGTGACTCACTCTACCCTACCTTCTCAATTAAACAAACTCAAAAGAAACAGCTGTTACCAAACAGACTTCAGAGCCATTCAAGTCTCTGTTTTCTTTGGTCCCCAAACAACCTTAACTCTGATTCTTTGACATTCAATTGTTAACCAGGGGCTAGGCATTATGGAACTTGAGGCAATAACTGGAGAAAAGCTTACTCAGAAGTTGCTATCTTATGGTGACCCTATACACATCAGAGTAGAAGTGTGCTCCATAGGGTTTTCAGTGGCTAATTTTTCAGAAATAGATCTCCAGGCCTTTCTTCCAAGGCACCGTTGGGTGCATTCAAACCTTCAACCTTTCAGTTAGCACCCAACTGCATTAACTGATTGTGCCACCCAGGGACTCAAAAAGGGACTACGTCATGCTTCCTTTTTATACCCTGACAGCAGCCTATCATTTAGTACCTGCAGAGTAGGTACTAAATAGATATGTAGTGAATGAATGAGTCTTCATCTCTCCTTCACTTTTCCACAATAAGGGATATGAGTCCCAGGAAGGTTAAGGAACTTTCCCAAAGTCATGCAGTCAGTTAATGGCAGAGCCAGGGTTTCCGAGTTTTAGACTGTGCTTCCCTCGCCACTCCTAGAGGGAACAATGCACAGCAGCTGTAGCTATTCAAGGATGAGCCATTTAAGTTCAGGACACACAGCCAGCATACACAAAGGAAAAAGAAAAATATGAGGAGTGGAGATTAATCCCGTGAGCACTTTGGTCATGTCCTGTGCTCTAGGCACCTCTGGTTAACATGCACTTCTCCTGTCCTAGGCATTCTTGCCCCAATGCTATCCCTGACTCAGCTTTCCACATACCAGCCCATCTCCACACACACATGCACGCACTTACATGCACAAGCACTCGCACACACATGCACTC